TGGTATACATCTTTTTTACGTGACATACCTCCTTTCCTTATTACAATGAAATTTTACTGGATTGGTATCTATCGCTGGTTTGTTTTTAGCAGAGAATGACCTTTGCATGTTCAGAGAGGGTACCGTTTGAGCAGATTTCGCAAAGAGGGTACCGATATGGATATGCACCGTGTATTTGTCTCCCAGATTCTGACACAAAACAAAAAATATATCAGAACTGAAACGGAATGGTAGAGTAAAGCAAGAATTTTTGTTGGCTTTATGTGTTGATAACACACAATAAAGATATTAAGCAAGAAATGAAATATTATTTCTATATACATGGCTGAACGGCGATTCCAAGCATTTTTGGAAACGTTAATACTTGTTATATACACAATCGACGCGGAATTAAAAAAAAATAAAGTTTCCTTTTAAAAGGAAAGGCTTGCACAGTTGTGCCTTCATCCCAACCCTTTAAAATTGTGTGTTTTTTTGGTCTCAATTTATTATCACATTTTTTTTTTAAATTATGTTATTTGTATATCATAAAGGGTTTATTTAGTTGGATTTTTTTTTGGAAAACCGAATATTTTTTGTCAAAACGATTTGAAATCTATTCTCTATTGTATAAAACTAATAAAGAAAATGATCAATCGTAAAAATACTATATAACGTGATACTGAAGGAAAACAAGTGTGCACCATTCATTTCCCCTTTTTCGCATCGAAATCATTCCTTTGCTTTATAGACAAGTAAATGCACTAAAATACTTCGTTACGTGGTACCAATTAATAAGCATGTATCAACTATGTTACACGATCACGAAATAGACGATATCAGCACCAAACTCCTCACAGCTGTTACGTCACGCTTTGCTACTTTAACTGTACAGATCAGGGGAAGTAACCGCTGCGAGGAGTGGGAAGGTTAATGATATGCATGGGCTATTTTTAGATTACCTCACCATTACGGTTTAAACCGATAAATCAAGTAAAAATAGAAATCCTATTTATATAAACAAACTGGGATTACCGAAGTAACTAAAATAGCTTAGATTTCCGTAATATTACTTCGTCTGATTCCGCAGTATGACGGAATCGCCCGAATTGTCACGATTGCAATCGGAACTACATCGGCTATTATCATTAATCCGAAGAGTGACGGAAAAGGCCGAAAAGTTGCGATTGGCACGATTGGAGCTGGTTTCCCGTTCAATCATGCACCAACAGATGTAAGCAGGAAACCACCTAACCGGAACAAGTTTTCCATATGAAATGGCTTGCAGCCGTGGCTGCAAGCCAAAAATACGTAAATAAGATATACAATCAATATCTTAATTGCTTGGCCATAGACTACACGTGTATATTTAAAAGAAAATCAAATAAAATACAATTAAAGAATATGTAGAATTATATACCTATCAATTAAAATTTCAGTGGCGACGCCATTTTCAATGTAACCAAATGATATAAGGCGGGTTATTCCGATATCAAACAATCGCAACTTTTCGGATTAATAATACGGAAGCGGTGCATGAAATACCGAATGACACCTTCAAAACGGAAAAATGACCGATTTTTTAACCGATTTCCCCGTTCATAAGCTTTGCCTAATTTCATATTATTTGTATTCTTCCATTTCTACTATTTTTATAACTACATGTTCTTTATTCGTGTTCAAATTTTATTTTGATTGTTCTAACACATCAATGCTTGTTATTTACAACATCATGCACTGGTAACCCTCACTGGGATTATCCGATATTAACCCTTACAGAATGATGTTTGTTGAAGTAACTATATTTACAAAACTTTCGATTTGAATTTTATTTTCATAAAACCCCGTTTAAGATTGTTTACCAAACACTCTCCAACACAAACAATTGAAATCTAATTGACAAAGTTTGTTTTGAAGTTTTTTTTTTCTATTCTTTTCAGTCATCTCTACATATTATACTGGCAATTAAAGGAAATCCAGATGAAAAGAATTCCCCAGTTGGTCGTCAAAAACATGTAGATGTGCCATATTTATAACAATAAATGTCCGAAAGCTTTCAAAGACGGTTGTTTCTGAATCAAACTCCAGTCTATTAATTACACACAAATGCGGTATAACGTTCACTATTCCCAGGACAGGTTTTAATCGAGATAAATCTTATCAAAACGAGACATGTCGCCATTTTGTTTTTGTTCCGAAAACGAGGCTCATTGTTGATGTCTATTAATCGGAATGCTTTTGGTTTAAAGGTCGATCTTTATTGCTTAGTTGATTCTTGATTTATGTTTAGCATTTGGAGAGAAAATATTCCGGGAAAGGACAAAAGGAAAAGGATAGTTTTAAATTAGCACTTTGAATAATAAAATTGCTGTAATGAAATCGTTAATATACACATATGGCAAATCACTATAGTTGACTAGGATTGTTTAATTATATAAAACAACAAATAATACACGGTCAAAAGTATCGACAGAAAGCCTTGGAAAAATTCTGAGAAATCTTTGCAGATATTTTTCTTTTGTATATAATTCTCGTGTACGTTCTTACTAAACCTAATAACATTATTTTAGAAATTAAATTAAAACAACAGTCGGTGTGCCAACATACATGTAAATTTAAAATAGTCTGTATGGAAAAGAGAATGGCAAGTTGAAACTTTAGTTCCATAAAAAAGGAATGTTACTATTGTATCAACGGTTTTAAACAAGTAATACAAAAACATCTGACTTTCCACCATAATTTTCCCCGTGCTTATAGCAATTGCAAATTGTTTGTCCTTTCCGTTTAACTCCGGGTAATGGTCATTAGTAATCAGCGAGTAGGAAGGAATGCAGGTCCATGTCAACATTTTTATTTTGACAAAATTGTGAACCGCTATGAGAAATCTCTTAAAATCTCTCTTTGAAAATGATCTTAAAATTTCCTCCCACATATCGACTGATTCGCTTCTGTAAAGTATTTTGTAGTTGGTTTGAAGTGACATTATGCTGATTTCGCTATGAAGCCGTGTTGCATTAGTAACATGTTTCGAAAGAGTGACTACATGTATTATAATGGTGATTAATATAACCAATTATTGGTAATGTAAAACGTTAAGAATTAAATATAAAAACTACCTAAATTTATAAAAAGGACTGTCCCACTTTTTTTTAAATATTGAACGTTACCGATATATTCCGAACGACATTTATAGAAATGTACGTGGGTCGCGTAGCTTATTGGTTATTATTTGCTTAGTAAAATATAACATTGAACACAATTATTACAAAATGTAAACTTATTTTGACTTTTTACTTTGCACTCACATTTACACTTGGAGGGACATAATTTCTTGTTTTAATGCTAAAAAAACACAATCAAATATACTTGTACACATCCGGGGATGAGCTCACCACCAAAATTGATTGTGAGTTTTTTTCTGTAACACTTGCACTCATCTTAATTCACTTTTTCTTTTTACAATAAACTATAATGAATCGATTAGAAGCACAGATATCCATAATCAGGCAAAGACTGCTTAGGAATGGGCAATTTGTAAATAATCAAAGCGCTAGAGGCACTTTGTTACATTTCTATAGTTTGAAAAATCAAAATCAATTTTTGTCATACAAAACAAATTTTTTTGAAATATTTATGAAATCAGTTCAAAATAGTTGGTAAAAATGCCATTAAAATCGGGTGCAACCAGTCGTTTGAAATTTAAATACAACTAATGCACTACAAAAAGATTTTGTTAAAGACTCGTAAATAAATGATAAGCGGAATAATATTCAAATAGTGGAATCCTTGTCACCTTAGCCATCACAGATCTTAAAATTCCGTCTAAACTATTTGTTTGGCATGTCACTTCTCTTTCGGTATAAGCATGAATTAAAAATATTTAATTGCGGAGCAAAATAATTACATGCGGGACTACCAAAAACAAACAAGACAACATGATTCGTACATACTTTAACGTTTATTACATAAAACAAAACGTGAACATCAATTACTAGTATATAATACATTGATCAGAGGAAAGAAAACTTTTCAAATGTATGAATTTGAATAATTTTAAGAGAATTCCGAACAAAGTAAAAAGTTCAGTCATTTCTGACGAAGGGAAACAAACGGGTTTTCGAAGAGCAATATATTAATGTGTTGTTTCAAAAAAAATTAGTCAATAAGGTTAATGGTAAAGCACAAATCTAATAAAATCCGCGTTAACAAACGATCTGCTACTCTTGTCTGTGATAAACTAATTTTAAGCTAATCCCTCGAAACTTAATATCAATATCTGAATATGTTATCCAGTATCATAAATGTAAAATTTCGACAGTTAAATACTAGTATGTCTTTTTCTTCGCACACATTTACGCATAAGACATTTTTTATTTCCCTCCATCTTGAAATGACGTCATCGTTTTACTTAGTCTCTGATTGGACAGTTCACTGTTCAACGTAAACAACACGAGTAACCTGAAATGTGACAGTAAATCACATTTTAGTTTAATCTCCAAATAAAACATTTGTAATAAAAAATGCGTGAAAGTGCACCAAGAATATAATAAATATATAATATACATGTACTAGTATATAAGATATATCATAATGAAACAATTATTAGGAAAACAAATGTATAGATAAAATGAAGTAACGCTATATAATGATGTTTAGAAATCATTCTGTTTTTCTTCACTGTTCTTTACTGCATATAAAATGGACAAGTCTTTAAACTTTTAAATGCTTCATGAAAAATGAAAATAAACTTGATTAAATAATGACAGTTTAAATGGTTGCAAAAAAGTACATTCCAGGTAAGCCACACGAAGGAGAACATCAAGTACACTTTTTATCTCTCAAATAGCACTTTAATAATATGTACTATTGTTTTTTGTTTTTTGGTTTTTTTTGTTTTTTTTTTCTTTTTTTTGATTAACGAGAAAAGTTTGAAACAATTCAATTTTTACAAACAAACAATCACAATCAGTCAAAAACTCAATCAATCAATCGATCGATCGATCGGTGAATAAATCAATCAATCAAACATTTTAGACATGGGTAGAGCTCGCTCGCTCACGTTTATAATTTGAGACGAATTCTATTTGATTAGGAATGATGTCATCAGCGCTATAGAACCTAGGTGTTCCTTTCTCATCAGTGAAAACAGAATCGGTATTAGCAGGTTCCATATCAAAATCATCCAGATTGGCATTATTAACATATTCATCCACTGCAAGGTCAAGGTTGAATTTCTTGCTTTCCTGAGAGTGACCTACGTTACGGACTTTAGGAACGTCATCAGCCGTATATTCTATGACCGGATCAGTGCTAATATTTTCTATACTAGATTTTATTAGTTCATTTGACTCACTTTTAGGTTTTGAAGGACCGACGGGCGAATTCGATTTAGGAGTCGGTTCAATCTTGGACTTAGACGCAGACAAGCCAGATTTTATAGAAATTGAAGTAATAAAAGAGGATGGATGACTTTTCGGGTTGAGAGAATTTAGTAGAGACTGATTCAATTTTGAAGGATCTGCCATGCTACAATCAAGATCTGTTTGTGAACTACTATCAACAAATCGTCTACGAAAACATGATTGCTCATCTGACGGCAGCATGGTAATTTGGTTAACAAAAGAATTTAAATCATTGTCAATCTCTCCGCTTACTGTGACTGAATCTCGCCGTTTTGTCGGCGGCGACGGATCTGTCTCTGGTATACATTCATGCATCATGTTCGGCTCCCGCACGTTGTAACCGACCGGTATGTTGAGCATGTGGGATAGGCGTCTACCAACGGATCTGGCAAAATTGATGTTCTTCTCAGAAAGTCTTCTTAGTGTGCTTGTCTTCGATTTACCATCAGATAAGGTGCTCACTCGTCTTAACTAAAAGCAAAAAAATAAAAAATAATCAGCTCTTTGCTTATTCTTGATGCAAATTTCATCTGTCTTGGAAGACCGGCTGGTGTATTCGATTTAGGAATCGGTTCAATCCTGGACTTACATGCAGACAAGCCGGCAGATACATGTAAATGTTACAACAGAAAGCTGGGACCAAAAGTTATATTTTTTGGTCCCAGCAGAGAACTGTATATTTGTGAATAAATTTGCATTGCTTATTGTGAAATGATCTTTAATTGTTACATTTTCAAAAACATTTTTAAACTGGCAAAAACAACATTTTTATATATTTCATGCACATATATGTTATTTGTAAAAGCAATCCGAATCTAGTGCAATCTGAATCACATTTTTTTTTCTTTATAGTGACAAAATGAAAAACAAAATGACATATTCTTAATGTGTCCTTGGAGAGAAGAATCAAGTTATATAAGTTTTAGAATTTGAGAAAATATCTGTTTTGTGTGATCCAGAAGTACTTTAATGACAATTTTTCCGAAAACTCTTTTTAATGAGGCTTTAATGTTTTCAAATGATTTTTCTCTCCACATGTAGTTATTCTAATATCTCTGTGTATTGTTGTGAAATTATCAATGTACATTTTTCACCTTCTTATCTATTTTAATGCAACCAGAATTTACTGTCATGATTAAAAAAAAAACAGCAACAACAAAAACACACAAAAAACTGGAACATGAAGTATGACAATAGTTTGATGTTTAGAAAAGAGATGACACCAGTTGCTGCAGCCATAAAGACTCAAAAATATATTTTAAAATAAAACATTTTTACTCAGGTGATTCATATTGCCTTCACTACTGTTTTGAAAACTTGTCGACTTTTATGTTTCATTTATAAAAACATGTTTGTTAGGATGTAAAATAATGAAATTAGACTCAAACTGCAAATTGTATAACTATGAATTTTAATCTTTGGATAAAATATTTATTTATACATGAGGTAGGTATATAATGACCTAATATATTTGAAAATATTATTATGTCATTCTTATTCTATAACGGATAGGAAAGTTATACGGGCCTCTTTGGCGCCAAACAATAAAGCGCCATCTTGGAAATATTTATTGTATATAAATATGACATTACGATATGTGAAAAAAAATCGAAAATAAGCATGAATTCTAAAATAAAAGAAGTCCAACCTTAACTGTCACGCATGCGCATACAATCCAAGACACAAGGAGTATTAATACAGTAACAGCCATGACGGACGCTATGGCGACCTTTTCGGCACACAGTTGTCCTTTCAACTTCGAAGTGACGCCGTCTGCAAAATAATATTAATTAAATGAAAGTTTATTTACCATAAAATTAAAAAAATATACATTCTTTTTTTTTTGGCAGAAAAAAGTACGACAAAATACACGTTCCACGTTTTGCAATAAGTGGTTCATGCTAGAATTCATTTTCTGCTATTTGTTTTATTTTCCTCTTTGTAATTTGTTTTCACTTAAAATATATCAATAAACAACCCAATGAAGGTTTCTTTTCATTCCTCTTTTTAACTTTCTTTCTTAATACTTCATACTTACAAATAAAATCATTTGCCTTCGAGGATTTCACTTTAAGTTTCGTCGCACACGTCACTTTTTCAAATATTTCGTCGACGTCATCATCATCATCATCATCACCATCATCATCATCGCCGTCATCTCTCCGTTTACGACCCCAGCCCTCTACAGTACCACACACTTTCTATAAATCGAAGCAAATTTAGTTATTAAATAATTTTCGCTTGACATTATCAATAAATTTTAATATTAAGTTTGGGATGTCCGATTAAGAAACAGAACATACAGTTTAGAACAAATATGGAAACAAAAAGACGTTAATAAAATCTCAACATATATTAAATGTTACAATATTTATAAGAAAACTGTACTGATCTCCGATAAACATGTTTCAAAGTTTTAAAATAACTCACGGCCAAAAATAGCTTTTAAGAAAACAACAATAGTCACAAAAATGCAATGACGCCGAAATAGTCTAAGATGACGTCATTAACATCCTGTTACATCAGTGCTTTTGAAAAATCTTTTTGTATAAAGTTTGACACAAAATTGGGGTATCAGATATCAAATGTGAAAAAAAAATTTGCTAAAAGTTACTTTATGACATTCTCCCTTACAAACAGCCACGTTACAAGTAAACGATACATCTACTTCCGTTGCATCATCTAAACTTGTCGGCTGAAATGCTTGAAAACCGGAAGTGATGTCACCTCTTGCCTTTTTCTCAAAATTTGGAAATAGCTGTTCATCTTGGGAACACCTAGATAAAAAGAGTTTTTTAAAGAGACAGTCAAACAAACTAACAAAAACATACCAAAAATAACACAAACAAAGCATTTTGTTTCAAACTTTATAAAATGTTTGGTGTTTCTAAGAGATAGTAATTTAGGGCGGAAAACATTTGCTCAAATTCAAAAAAGAAAATTGTTAATTGACAACCGATTGTCTTTTTCAATAAATTGTTCATGGTGAAATATAGCAATGGTTATTTTACTAAATTACTTACTCATTTTCAACCAAGTTGATCATTTCTGCTCTACAATCCTTGGCTTTTATATCAAAATCGTCTGCAAAAGTAACATATGACATGATTATGAAAGCCGTCTGCAATGTATGACATGATTTCCAAATTCAAAGTCGTTTGCAAACAAATGGCATGACTACTAAAATTCGTCTGCAAAAACGTGAAATGATTATCAAAGTCGTCTGCAAACATATGCCATAATTAAGAATGTCGTCTGCAAACATATGCCATGATTATAAAGGTCGTCTGCAAACATATCACGTGATATTGATTGATTATCAATCATCAATGTCGTCTGCAAACAAATGGCATGATTATTAAAGTCGTCTGCGAACGAATGATATGAGTTTCGAAATCGCATTGACAATCCGTCTTACTTCTCTATAAAGTATTAGGTGATCTGTCATTATTGCACACAAAAATGAATATATTAGGAATATTCAAACACATAGGAAACTTTCAAAACAACAATATCTCACCAAGGTAGGGGTTATCCAGCTTTAATGACAGCAATACTTGGTCGCTCAAGGAGACTTCATCAACAGATTTGAAAGTTTCTGATGCCAGTATACGCATGCTTACTGTCGGTCGTACAGTTTTGTTCACCGAGCTCCCATCTACCTTCTCCCTGCCGGAAGTTAATAAACACCAAACAAAAACATGTGAAGATTCTCCTCGAACAAGATATTGATATAAACATGTACATATGTACATATAATTATACCCCCACAAACGAAGTTTAGGGGGGGTATATAGGAGTCAGCTTGTCGGTCGGTCGGTCGGTCGGTTGGTCGGTCGGTCCGTCGGTCGGTCCACATCATGGTTTCCAGACGATAACTAGAGTTTGGAATGAGGTATTGTAATCAAACTTGGTATATAGCAACCTTATGTGGAAACTCCGGTTGGTATTGCATTTGGACCCCCTGGGGTCAAGGTCAAGGTCACCGTTACTAAAAATAGAAAAATGGTTTCCGGACAATAACTAGAGTTAGGAATGAGATATTGTTATCAAACTTGGCGTATAGCTAGCTAATATGAAGACCTGGGTTGGTATTGCATTTGGGCCCCCTGGGGTCAAGGTCAAGGTCACCGTTACGAAAAATAGAAAAATGGTTTCCAGAAAATAACTTTACTTAGGAATGAGATACTGTAATCAAACTTGGTGTATAGCAAGCTAATATGAAGACCTGAGCTGGTATTGCATTTGGGGTATAGCAAGCTAATATGAAGACCTGAGCTGGTATTGCATTTGGACCCCCTGGGGTCAAGGTCAAGGTCACCGTTACTAAAAATAGAAAAATGGTTTCCGGACAATAACTAGAGTTAAGAATGAGATATTGTTATCTAACTTGGCGTATAGCAAGCTTATATGAAGACCTGGGTTGGTGTTGCATTTGGGCCCCATGGGGTCAAGGTCACCGTTACGAAAAATAGAAAAATGGTTACCAGACAATAACTTTACTTAAGAATGAGATACTGTAATCAAACTTGGTGTATAGCAAGCTAATATGAAGACCTGAGCTGGTATTGCATTTGGACCCCCTGGGGTCAATGTCAAGGTCACCATTACTAAAAATAGAAAAATGGTTTCTGGACAATAACCAGAGTTAGGAATGAGATATTGTTATCAAACTTGGCGTATAGCAAGCTTATATGAAGACCTGGGTTGGTATTGCATTTGGGCCCCCTGGGGTCAAGGTCACCGTTAGGAAAAATAGACAAATGGTTTTTGGACTATAACTAGAGTTAGGAATGAGATATTGTAATCTAATTTGGTGTAAAGGAAGCTTATATGAATACCTGGGTTGGTATTGCATTTGGACCCCCTAGGGTCAAGGTCACCATTACAGTGTTACTAAAAATAGAAAAATGGTTTCCGGACAATAACTAGAGTTAGGAATGAGATATTGTTATCAAACTTGGCGTATAGCAAGCTTCTATGAAGACCTTGGTTGGTATTGCATTTGGGCCCCCTTGGGTCAAGGTCAAGGTCACCCTTACGAAAAATAGAAAAGTGGTTTCCGGACAATAACTAGAGTTAGAAATGAGATATTGTAATCTAATTTGATGTATAGGAAGCTTATATGAAGACCTGGGTTGGTATTGCATTTGGACCCCCTAGGGTCAAGGTCACTGTTACAGTGTTACTTAAAATAGAAAAATGGTTTCCGAACAATAACTAGAGTTAGGGATGAGATATTGTAATCAAACTTGGTGTATAGCAAGCTTATTTTGAGACCCCAGTTGCGATTACAATTAATTGAAATATTTCTTTGTACATATTTGATAGTTTGAGTTCAAATTTTTCTTCAGACTACTTTTTTTCAAAAGGTCAAAGTTGCTGGTGGGGGTATTAATCACCTTCAGTGATAAGTCTAGTTTGAACATATTCTGTAAGAATTGGATGTTTACGATATACAAAAAAGAGGAAAGTCTCGCGCGCATCATGTACCAACATGAATCAAATAGAATTTTTATTTTAAAAAATCAATTTATTACAATCTTAAATCACGTTTACGATTGCATAAAATGACAAGACAAATCGCACGATGGAGAAAACGCGATGGTTCAATACAACTGCAATAGAAATGAGATGGTACTATAGCAATACTACATAATATGATGAATTCCATTTCAAAATCATGTCACCGTTTATTTATCACCCGGACATCGTGTATCGAAGCCTTCAAGGTTAGGGCAATATAAAAAGTCATCATTTTCAAGCGTTACACAGCACATATAATTATTTTATCAATTAGTATTAATATGATTTAATATATCATCAGTACTTACTCTGGAAACACTACCGCTGACACATAGAGGTCGCTAGTATCTACGAGGCACATTACCGGTATTACTTTGTCACTTCCGGTCTGGTACCGGATCTTCTTTTGAACAACTATGCGGAATTTAGCGTCCTATTATATAAATAAACATAATTTTGATTACGTTCGTTTCTGATTTTATAATTTTGTTTTCATTTTTATTAAGTTTGTTACAATTACAATTTGTTCAGACAGGCTACCCGGAACGTAAGTAAAGACTTAACTTTATCTAGATAAAAATGTATTTGTATTAAAATAAAAATCCGGCTCTTGACTAACTACATTGTGTACCATTTTATCCATGTATTCTTGTACCACGATGCATTTGAATAATTTAATAAATTTAAGTTTTGTTAAATAGTGATAAACTTATTAAAAGACTCACATATTCAATATTGCACATCTTAAAATCAAACTCGTAACTCCTTTTCTCCGCGACAGTGGTTCTGCTACAAGAGGTATCACGTCCTTGTATAAAAATGAGTCCGTCCTCCGCAGCATTCTCTAATTGTATAATTACGCGTTGAGACGCACAACTGACAACCGTCACTGAAATATGTAAATAGTCCGGCATTTTGTTATTTTCATGATTTATAATATAAATACATGTAAGGCTAATGCATAAAAATAAGGCTCACGAAACTAAAATTCCTTAAAGTTTATTTCTGACGTAGGCAATTTATATTTATTATATACTTTGATTTACCTACGTGCATTAGAATAAACTATAGAAACAGTCAAACTAAATTAAATATTGGAACATTAACGATTTTTTTTTCAAACCGACATATTAAGGTATTCATCCAGTTGATAAAAATATTTTCTATCTAAATATACATATCTTCACTTAAATGTACACAATATAAATAACAACAGAAAAAATATACCATTTGGAGAAAATGTTGCGTCGCAATTGGCGGCCTGGAATTGAATGACAAAAAACAACCCCAATTGCAACAAACGCATGCTGATTTTCTAGAATTCTAGAACTTCTGGTGGCGTTCTAGAACTGCCTTTGTTATTATTTCTGAAATAAATTGGACAACGCCAAGTTGTACATTATGTGTATATTTCTACTTTATACCATTGGAGCTAAAACAAAATTTAAACGCTTTCATTTTCGGGTCTTTTTGCACAATGAAAAAAAGGATTATTTTGGAAAATTAAAGCGAGTGAATGATCTGAAATTTTGCACACAAGTTGTTATCCAAACCATCATAAAATAGTTCATAAACACATAAGAAGCACCCCCATGATAGTGTTGCTAGATCTTTGACTTTTTCGTTTAATATTTGTTTAAGCATTCATATGTACATGAAAACCTTTGGTGCGTAGGCTATAAAATTTGAAACTGAACTACTTTTAAAACTTAAGCTTCCAGTCAACTACCGGATATAAACATATGGAAAATCTTTTATCTCCAGAACAAACATTGATAAAATTATCTCTAATTGTTGCGTTTTACTATTCTTATGCAAACAATGTCTCTAATATTTTATGTGCAAAAGAGAAATAAATGTTTACCTTAAGGTTGACGACTGTATAGGAAAATACGAGGATTCTTAACATCTAGAATATAGCTTCCCGATTTAGCGCAAACAACACAAATAAACGGTTACGGTGATTGAACGGAGTTTATTCTGACCATTCAGCGGTTTATTAGTTAAAGTAGTGACGTGTGCAAAGTGTAAATTCAATTAAACGTTGACAGCTAAAAACATTGGTAACAACACATGAACACACTTACATTAATTATTCATAAGTTTTGATGATAATTTGCTTTATAATTGATAATTAGATTACTAGACAAAATAATGTGGAATATAGTCTCGTGTATACATAATGCTTTTATGCTACTATATACAAATGTTTACACCTATATATTGTAAATAAATAAAACAAATTGAACTAAACAATGCAACTGAATAATAAAATTTCATAGCATAGATAAAGATTGGATATAAATCTCTAGTCTATGATCCTCTTTTTAGCAAAAACGTTATTTCATCATTTTATTTAAATCCGTTTTGTGATCAATCGAAAATACTTTTTTTGATAATTTGTTTGTTTTGAAATCCAAAAAATGCTTAAAACAAACGAATCAGTAAATACTCTTCCAGGACACGTAGAAAGATGCTACTGCATTGACTGTTGTTTAGTTAGTACATTTTTACAATTATTAAGTTCCATGATTTTTAAAACATTTCGACATTTCTTCAGATGTGCCAGGTCTGTCCACGTTAAAAGTTCATTGTGTGAGACCTTACTGGATGCTTTTAAATTTCTCTCAGCCTTATTACTAGTAGCTTCAGACGTCTCATTAGAATTAGTTTTCTCATCTCTTAATTTATCCACATCAACTTGAGATTTCTTGACATCAGATCTTTTATTTGAAAGTGTATTTCCAGTATTGCTGACTGCGCGCTGTGAAATTCCCACTTTTGGCGGTTCTGTGTTTGGGAGAGTTGTCGCCCTTTCCATTCTAAAATAAATTCGAGAGAAAAACGTCTTTAAGTTGACTGATAAAACACACACGTAAAATTATAAGTAAATTCTGATTTAATATAATTTAAATATTTATAAGAAAATTAAAAAGAGCTATATTTCATCATATTAATTTAAATCAATATTTGAAATTAAAGAAATGTTGAAAATAGTTACGTATTAGTCGACTAAGACATATTTTATTTCAAGATGGGCAATGCTTGATTTGATATAGGTATTATTTTAATTTTCATAAGCATTAACCTTTAGATGTATTTCTGTAATTTCTTACATAAATTTATATAAAAAAATATAAAATACACACCCTAGTTTCAAGTTATCTTCTTTCCCGTCGACTTCGTGGATATTTGACAATTTCCGTAACTGCTCGGTCCTCTTCAACAATTTTCCGGTGGCAATTACGGCAAGGCTTAATGATGACACAAGAACCAGTAAAATCACTATAAGACCGAGGATAAATGCTAAATGAGCTATACATACGCTGTCATCATTATCCTTATCTGAAAGAAAACAAATACATGTATTACATTTATAATCAACGGTGTCTATTTTTTTAGAAGTTAGTACAATTGTCAAAACAGAAATTTTGCTTAACACTATAAACAAAAATCTCTATGAATATTAGGGCTGAATATTGCAAAGAATTATCTAAGAACCTAACGATAATTTATTAGAAGACTTGGAATGGGGCTAGTACGACAATGCACTAACTTAGAATTTTAGGTATGATTTGACGTTTTATATTAAATAATAAACATTAAATGAAAATATTTGAATGCATAAAATTAAAAGTTGATGCCGTTCGGATGATCAGATTATTTTACATATCAATTGAATATATGTACATGTACGAAGATTGTCCGGTAAGTTCATATACTTCTTCAGTTATTGCTCTAAAACAATACATACGTTTTACAAATTTTGTCAGCAAATATATATACATTACATATTTAAAAAACACATTTACAAAAAATGTAAATGAGCTTCGATCAACGTTAGCATAAATAGTCTTTACACACAACATATTTATATTTATCACATAAACTGCGGCGCAGGAGTGTAATAAAGCCATTTAATAAAAACGATATTACACTAGTGTAATAACACTTTGACGTGACGTCATTTGCAGTATATATAAACATAGAGTTAAAACGCGCTAATGTTAGCGTCAATGAAAAATTACTCTTTTTAACAGTTTACTGTTTCTTATTTTATATATGTGATAAAAGGAATATTATATTCGTGTAGATTCAATACTAAATTTATTGAACTCGTTGAATAAAACAATATTATGCTCGCCAGACGCTCGCATAATATGATTTTATTCAACTCGTTCAATAAATTTAGTATTAATCTACACTCATTCAATATCCTTTATACATCGTCATGGAGCACGTTGACAACGCCAACGGCGTCAAATAAACGTCACGTTCTCACTCCTGATAGCGCCCATGCGATTTAACGCATTTCTAACGTCGGCTGACTCATTTCCGGTCTTTACGTGTATACGTATATTGCAACCCCCAAAAGAAAATACTTTTTTTATTCGAGTTAACTCGTACTTTATTCTATATATCGTTATTATAACGGATTTAATTATAATACAAACAAAAATTAGGATATGATAATAAAAACGGCTATGATTTGACATGACATAACAGTTTAAATACATTACTCTTTACAATTAATAATCCATTAATTATCAATAAATAAAAATAAAATGTACCTATTGGTGTTAGGTCAATGTCCGTCCCTACCGACATTGACGTTCCGACATTCAGATCTTCAAACGCGACGTCCTCTTTAACTTCGCGTTTCTTTCTTCGACCCCATCCTGTTTCGTCTCCACAAACTTCCTAATGAAAATTTAAAAAAAAAACACCAAAATTAAGCAAATATTCGTCAGATCGTGTTTCTTTGACAAAACGAATCGCTGTGAAGTCGGAACGAATAATATATTTTGGCTTGTTTAATTTGAAAAATGAAATGTCTCCATGTTATGCCAAATTTATGACTTTGTATGCAACACTGGGAAGTAAATTTATCTAGTTCATGTACATATGTTTTATATTTTGATTAGGAATAAGAATTGTAAAAAATATTAAACAAAAAATGATCATGGACATTATTTTTTATTCGCCTACCTCTACACAAAGTCCACGGCACACTTGTACTGTGCACGTGAAAACCATCTCAACGCTGCCACTGCCGAGATCTGTTGTACGGAACGCGCCGAACGTTGACGTCACGACGCCTTGTGTCACGTGAACAAAATTCGGAAATAGGTCAGTATCAGCAGCACAGCTTAAATAGAGAACGTCATTTATCATAAGTTGCGGGCCTTAAGTGCTTTATGTTTTAAGTATGGAGTGCAGTACTAATAACTAAATAATAAACATTCTCTGTTTATTTAGCTCCACGACTTAATAAAATTGTCTAAGAACCAGATCAACCAAGAAATGTTTTCTATTTTGCGATTCTGATTAATATTACCTACTGATATCAAGTTGGTGGGCTTTCATTTTATACACATAAATACGGGAAATAAATCTATAAGTGCTCAGAAGTTATCTCCCTTATTATAAGTTTCCATTTAAAAAGAAAACACATGATAAATTTTAGTTATTGAAAGAATATTATTTAGGTAAACTAGAAATCACATGTATCACATTCATTTTTAAACACATTATTTTATCAAATACAAATATGACGATTTGTATCATCAAAATAGTTTTGTCAATATGTTCGGATAATAATCATTAGTAATTAATATCCATCATAAAGCAAATGAATATTCATACTGAGAGAGGTAAATTTTACATAAAGTTGATATAGCCTATATCATGTATATGTTCAATAAGTTTATACAAATTGTTTTAGTTCGATTGTGTTGGAAGCTATAAGCTTATTGAAACACCCTCGAATCTGTTCCTGGAACCAACCAGTACTAAGCAATGAACGTAAAGTTTCTTGCTCAAGAAAACAACGGCTTGTCCCAGACAGGGTTTGAACCAACACGGTCAGCAATCCTTAGATTACTAGACTAACGCGAAACAACGGCGTAATGCTTTTTGCACCACATAGGTGTGACAAAGTTAACCCAATCCTCAGACAGTGACATCTGTTGACCGCCATCAGGGTGGTCATTGTTATAGTTTTTATTATTAAATTAAAATGTATGGTAAGCAATTTTACATGTGTTGCTGAAAATTTACAAATTCGGAAAAATCACCAAAAATCACGTGCTGTTGATTGTTTAACGTCATGGACGCCATTTTCTTTCAATTCTGTAATGCTAGGTAAAAATTTAGCTTCAGGTCTTTAGCGTATCCGTTTAGATACAATGACATGACGTGAAGGCATCAGACGAAAGAAGAAAAAAGAAAAAGAGCGGCTTCTAAAGTGTTGGAAGCCAGAACTAGGTATTATCACTTTACGAGTGGGAGGCAGGCGGGGGGCGGGGGGGGGGGGGGCAAACATTTTTCATCCGCGTGCACTTGTTTATTTCGGATATATAAGCACATATATGAAGGTTCTAAAGTATAGACGTGTTTCTGTGGCCCCTATGATTGCAGGTATCTTTTTTCTGCGAGAGAGACATATATGTTGTTTTGAGTTTCGAATTAAAATTTTACACATCTATGGAATGAATTGCATGTGTTTTGAGGTGCCCAACTATAGGAGAATTTCGTTTTCATTATATATGCGTTGTTATGCTATACTATATATATGAGTCACCTTTAAAGATGCGATTTTGGGATCTGAAATGCGAGGGGTATAACTAGCTTGAAAGACATTGACGAGAGGAACTTGAAATTAAGTGTGGAGTGCAAGCTTATGAGACTGATTTGCTATTTCCCAAAATACCCAAAGTGACGTTGCTTACGGTGAAGTAAATGTCTGTCCAATTTATCGTGCATGGAACATGGCTCAACACAAAAAATAAATCACTGACCTTGGTGAAAAATAAATTAACATTTGTTCAAATGTGATCGAGCCATCAACATGGTGCTGGCATCACATTTGAATAAATGTAAGTATTTTATTATCAACCAAGATTTTTTAACTTTATTGTGTGTTGATCAAATGCTTTAGCAAGACCATGTTGGTAAACATTAATTTAATGGTAAAGAAATCACTCAAGATGTGTCTCCTCGTGTAAGAAAACACTCGAGCAGATATTTGTTAAAAGTTTTAGCAACATCATTTTTAGGTATTTCGTCTCAAAATTGCATCCAAAATGATGAAAAAACATGTTCTACACGGCATAGCATTCTTTGGTGTTATTTTTTTTTAATCGGATATTCTTAGAAACTGTGTTATTATTATGAAGTTAATGTACATTGTTGAGTACAATACTGATTTCTATTTGACAAGTACACATCTAATAAACCTATATTGGACGAGGCAACAGTATTTTTAGCCTCTGGGTGATATTTTTGCTGTTATCCATCAACCTCTGTGTTCTTTATATAATGTTGTCAACGATGCTTGAACATAATTTAAAGGCCCATTATGCCTCAGAAATGAATACAGCTTTCCTTCTTTAGAAAGGGCAAACATGAGCTGTATAATGTTTCAATAAAGGATTTAGAACATGCTTTATGTTAAACACATTGACGAAAGTAGCACTGACTGTGAAATTATTTGTCATAAAAGTAGCAAAATGTAAGCAAAGCAATATCTTGACTTCCATACAAAATATTGAATCACTGTAACAGAACTTATTGCCAAATAGCAACAGAAGCAAAAGATTGTTCTGGTAAGTGGCCAATGAGTAACTTTTTGGAAATTATACACGACATAAAAAAAATGAAAAACCTTTTCAGAAATAAAAGTAAAAATCATTTCAGATGCATATTGGGTCTTTAAATGACGCTTTAGTACGCTACCAATTGTTGATATTATTATAACACTACAAGTGTACAATAATAAATGTGCTAAGTAACTTACAAATCTTTTGTGATGTCAATAAAATTTGCTCGGCATGATTTTGCTTTGATATCAAAGTCCTCTGAAAAAGCAAAAATACAGAAATACTATTTTGTACCCAAAATTATTTTAGATCTCAAAAGTTTTTTCGTTTTTCTTGTACGAAATTTTCGAAAAAGATATGGCCGATGGGTCCAGGTCTTAAATATGCAAAAATAACATGTTACACATCTGGTTTGCTCTACAACATGTATATCCGGAAGATACGAGATCATAAATTCAACCTCGATGTATACAAAATAAGAAAAAATAAGAAAAAATAAGAAGAAAAATACCTATGAATTCATCATCCACCTGTATTGTCATGGTAACAAGGTCTGTGAGTTTTACGTCACTTCCGCCTATATCGACGCCATCTTTGTATAATTTCATCGTTGCAGTAGGTTTCACAGTTTTATTTACTCCTGCGTCATCATTCTTATTTCTTTTCGATAGAGAAAATAAGAAAAATATAGAGTATTTATAAAACAATGACAAAACATTATTATTTTATTCAAAGTATATATAGGTACACGTAAATAATCGTTGGTTTTGAATGAAGGAATATGAAGGAATATGTCAACCAGTACTAAATGCCTTCACTTTCACTTCTATAATGCCAGGACAAAGGTACAGTGCAGGTGAGCGTAGTGAGGATTTCATTAGTAATCCTGCACCGCCTGGGAATCGAACCCGATTAACAGTCTAAAGTTCTTCATATTGTGAAACAATCCTTATATCATGATTATCCGAAATTAAACTTACCCGACATTTAGTCCATTTCCTACAGATATGTCACTGAGATCGTAAATACAGAGGAGCGATTCTTGAAGATCACTTCCGGTCTGATAAAGAGGATTTTTCTGTACTATTATTGTAAAATATGTTTCCTGTAGAAAAAAAAATGCAGATTATAACATGATGATCCGACAACTTGTTAATTTGACGGCGACTTTTAGAAATACGCCTTTACACGCACATATTCATACGCCTTTACATGCACATATTCATACGCCTTTACATGCACATATTCATAAAACTGTTGTTTTTCTTATTTTTGTTACAGTTTCCAAAAAAATTCATTTGCCCCATAGATGAACTGCCTCTGCTACTTTTGCTCTGTCAGCAAATGGTATAATTATATAGTGAATTGGTATTTTGTATGAAAGTCAAAATACTACTTTGTTCACATTTTGCTACATTTACGACACATATAACTGCACATTCAGCTGTACTTCCTTCAGTTGTTTAACAGCTAACATGCTCTTAATACATCACTAAAACAATATTAAACACATTGTTTATTTCTAACAATATTTCGACGAATCATTTACAACATTTTTTATAACATTTTTACAACATACCGCCTTCTCGATACCGCAGGCATCAAACGCGAACTCGTGTCTTGTCTCTACAGACAGTGTGTCTTGTTTACAGGCGGATCCATACCCTCTAATATAGATGATCCCTCCATCTATACCTCCGGTCAAGGTCACAACAATACGGCTCGGAGAACATACATCCCAACTTACTGTAAGAAATGAATAAATGTACATGTTATTTAACTGACCCACAGACGTAAAAGAAAAGCAATGGCACCACATATAACTCGTGATTCAACCCAGAATGCAATGCGCAGTATATAGCAGGAACTGCGTCTACTGACTTTAGGGCGGATCAGTTACTGGATTAGATAGGCTAATGCTTATCCAAGGTAAACGTCCCCGCTATATCCCGTGGGTGAGTTTATGGAAAGTAAACGTCCCGCTATATCCCGTGGGTGAGCAAATCAAGGTTTTAAGGTTTTCATTAATTAAATTAACTAATCAAAGTTTTGATTGTATTTACTTTAATCAAATGAGTTCATATGATTTACTATGCATCCATATCGCTCCAGCAGACGATATATTGAAACACTTTTGAAACATTTTGATAGCGTATATTTTCCCTGGAATTTTGCAATCAGACTTCATTCGAGTTTCGGTAAGTATAAAGATGTATGTCAAATCCACTCTCAAATATTATTTGTTAAACCAAAGAGACATTGGCGCAACACATTTTAAATAAAGTGTATTTTTGCCGCATATTGCTTGGTCATAAATGATTCTTCGCAATGGATATGAATTCATGTGCGCTGGCAGAGAAAAGTGTTTAAACTTATACGGACAAGATAATGATACATTATAACTTTATGTTCATGTTTGACCTTTTTCTTACCTTCCTACTACTTTAAAGCAGCATGGCTCCAGATTAATGCTTACAAATTACAATCATGAAAAAAAAATGAAAATGTATTTCAAAAGTTAAAAATTGTGAAGTGAACAAAAAGAAAGTAATTTACATATAACAAATTTCACAATCCGCATAAATTACCAAAAAAGAAAACAAAATATGCAAAAATAGCCCTTATTAATGCGTTAGTCACGCAGTAGCAATATGGTGAGAAATACTGCAAAATTAGCCATTAATCATATAACATATAAATTGTTACTTGGATCATGAATTCTTTTCCCTTTTCTTAAAATCTTAGTACATTTTTCTCAAATTTTGATATTCTTGACATATTTTGGCTCATCTGGAACAGGATCTTTCAAATATTAAAAAGACATTGTCTGGAAGCATGCAGCTTAAAAATTGTAATTATAATATATTATACGTTAAAATATTCATCTACAGTGCACATCAGTTCCTATTTCTACAAAAGAACAAAAGACTGGTAGGGTCATTTCAACTTCAAAGAATTCTCGATTTCATCTTCATGAATTCACAATTCGTGAAGTTGAAATCGTGAATTCATGAAATTGAAATCGTGAATTCATGAAGTTGAAATCGTGAATTCATGAAGTTGAATTTGTGAAGTTGAAATCGTGAATTCATGAAGCTGAATTCGGGAATTCACGAGGTTGAAACGTCCCCAACGGTCTTTCGTATATTTCTGTAAAATATGTTACTATGGCACAGTCAAGTATCACACTACATGTAAATGATACATTGAGTTTTGTAAAAGAAGTAAGAGACATCTCTGTATAATGAAAAAAGAATAAAACTTACGCACGGGGCTGTATTCCGTTGCGGCCATTCTGAACATGATGATTAGCATGTAACAAGTCACGTGACAATGCACCATTGTGAAGATGACGTTCAAATCTCGTAGCACGTGTTCAAGTCATCGTCATGTTCACGTACTGTAATTTAAAGTATTGTAATTTATCATGTACTTAAAGACTCGGATATAAAAGTTATTATTCTTTTTTACAATTATCCCATTGTTACGATATTTTAAATGTATTTATCATAAAGCAACCATTTAATAAATAGAGGATATTGAATGAGTGTAAGTTCAATACTGAATTTATTGCACGAGTTGAATAAATTTATATTATGCGAGCCTCTGGCGAGCATAATATTATTATATTCAACGAGTGCAATAAATTCAGTAATGAACTTACACGAATTTAATATTCTATTTATCACATACCCAAAATAAAGACCGTTTAAAGTGAAATAAGAGTCATTTTTCATTGACGCGTCTATAGTATAACGCTAACATTTAGCCCGTCTTTACACTATGTTTGTATAACACTAATGACGTCACGTCAAAATATATGCACGGCCGTGCAATACCATATTTACGGAGTCGCAAAATCGGCACGGATGTGTGATAAAAACATTTTAGAAATTTAAGAAAATCGACCATATTATATTGTCTGCATTATACATATATTTTCTCGCATGATTTAGAATTATTGTTTTAACTTATAAATATTATATAATCAATTCCAATCAGTCTTTTTTTCATTCAGAATAATTAATTTTATATCGGCTGTGAATATGTATAAATACTTTATCCGGTTCCGGGACGTTTCTTGTTATATTTTATACCTATTTTTGCTGTATAATATATTCTCGTTTACCAATTTCCGTGTAATTAAACAGTACTGGTGTCATATGAGTACTGATTGTCGTGAATAGATTAGGGCTTGAACCCACGACTGCCTGTGTCAAGGCTGACATCTTGACAAGTCTAGGGAACTGCCCGCTCTTCCCCCCGACCATCTTAATTCAGGTCAAATGTACGATTAAATTTCATGAAATTGAAATATACAAATACTTGATTATTACTTAAATTATTAATTTTAGTAGAGAAAACATACATACATGCACATGTTAGTCAATTTTATCATCCAAGTATGATATAACACTTCATACTGCAGATTTGAAAATAAAGTAGGAATAATAACAATAAAAATGAAAACGGAATCCCGTCCAGAAAAGAAAAAGAAAATTGCCGTTTAAAACTCAATTCAAAAACGCAAAAGAGCTATCAAGTAACATAATTATTATAAAATATTATCAACATGTGTTATATTTTCATGTAATGTACATAAAGTTTGTTCACGTTATTTCATTTATTCAATTATCACCTACAAAATATCATTATTGCCTAGTATTACACTATTAATTATTCATAGTAGGTAAGATATAGAACAGAAATAACTGTCCTATTTGCCGGACTGGTTTAATAGTATCTACATTTATTTATTTTCTTTTCATTTATTTTATTTTATTTTATTTAATCTTTTATTTAAGTCTTATCATTGAACATATCATAACATTAATACATAAAATTTATATATATTCATTGCACAGAATTATGTACATAGCCATTCTAGAGACTACTTGTTATTATTTACGATTTTTTGCAACATTTCTGCATAAAAATATTTAAAAAGTTAGATTTCATTGTCTTTTATTCGTCCGTATAAAAATTAATAATATTCATTGTAAATCTTTTAAATCTTAATTAAGTTGGTTTACACGACAAAAAGAACAGATTCATACTTACATACATGAATCTAATGCCATCACAATGTTATCCCTTTCTTTTTCCTTTCTTATGCATATGCAAACTAAATATCATCATGTTAATTTTATCTCGTTCTTTCATTTTACCATTTATTATTGTTATTTTATTTTATTGTAGTTTTTGTTGTTGATAATTCCGTTGACAACTCTTTTAGTATTTCATTCTGTATACATGTATTTTATGAGTTAGCATACCACCACAAATATATTTTAATCGTCCTCCTTGGAACCGCTTGTGATTTAGCCACTTTGCAACTGGTATAGAGCCAGGGAAGCCACTGACTCTATACAGTTGTTAGGTCGATTTTTGTATGCTCATATTAAAATCCCTTTAGATTAGAATGGATTGTTCAAGGTTCAAAGCAAGCCGCCCGGTTAGCTCAATAGGTAGAGCGTTGGACTTTAAATCGGGTTACTCGGGTTCGATTCCCGGACGGTGCTGTAACATTCATTGTCATTGATCACGAAGTCATTCGCAATGTACCTCTGCTCTGGTAAGAACGGAAGTAATCAGTTCCTTGTAAAAGTGAAGGCAACTAGTACTGGTATAATGCTTGACAGCCTGCCCATGAACGATGCGGTGGCTGAACTGTAAATTCAATGTGGTTTACTTGCGTGATCCGGAGTGGAAACTACCAACACCACCACAACGCTACAATCATTCAAAGCTGTGTAAATGCATTAAACAAATATAAAAGGACAAGGGTTAAATTTAACGATGTTGCAAGTTGTTATCGAACAGTTAGTTTAGCTTGGAACCAATAATAGGAAAGATATGTGCTTTAAATTATTAATTTTTTTATAACAAATATAATGCATACCTAAGGAACGAAACTCTTACCAATGATTTAAGATTATGGTTGCAAGAGTAACCGCGCCTGATAAGTTGACTTAGTAGTTTGTGAAATAGTGCACGTGCAAGGTGCATTTTAAAATTTTCACTACAGCCGAATTATAATTGAAAGTAAGATGAACATTTTGCTTTTATGTTTGGTAAACTACTTACCTAAAGTTTTGGTATCCCACACATAAAATAGGTCTACAGCGTGTACAAATAAAAACTTGACAAGAGTCTCCTGTTCTTTTGCAAAGTGTAACAGCTGTTATTTTTTACATGTCCCCCCAAAAAAGAAAAAAAAGAACAACTAAGCTCTTATTGCACTATCTTGCATGAACAGTCATTTGCTGTCCATAAAGGATAGATCTACTTTCTGTTTTCGTATTTCTGTTTTCGTAAGAAATGCCCAAGTTGAGCGCGCGTTACACGCCTTCAGTTATTATGGCATAGTAAATTCGAATAAATTTGTAATAGTGCAATTTCTGTCTTAGGGGTTAAAGCATGATATTATTTTTATGTAAATTTACTATAAAAATGGGTGTGTAAAAGGTGATTTTGTTGTTGTTGTTGTTTTGGCTTTTTTATGGGGAGGGTAGGTGGTTTCATGCTCTATGAGTTTAATATACATGGGGCTTGAAACATTTGTTACCGCAGTCTGTAGATCTGCGGCCGCCATTGACACAAAGGTTATAGCAATCGGATTATTCTCGGCTATTGTCTATAATAAACGGATTATCCAAAGACTGACGGAAAGGGCCAAAAAGTTGCAATTGGTGTCATAGGTTGTTGTTGTTGTTGGGTTTTTTGTTGTTTTTTTTTCCGAGATAAAAGAGTGACTAGACTGTCCTGAAATATCCACCGTATTCTCCAGGCTTGTCACCCTGTGAGTTTTTCCATTTTTCTGCACTGAAAAAATCATCTTGCGGGTCATCGTTTCAAGAATACAAATCGACTTTGATCGGCCATTTTACGTTATTGAAAGGTATGCCTAAGGAGGACTATATTGAAGCGTTCAAACATTGATCCGAAACTTTGTATATCTGTAGGAGAATATTTTGAAAGGGTTGCAATAGAAAGTAGCAAAATATTTGCTCTTTTGTTAAATTTATTAACCATATTGCACTTCATATTGACCCACCTTGTATTTTATAATAAAGAACTTATTGGAACGAAAAGCTTGATAGAACTCTTACGGGAATCAAACAATATTTTATTTACGGCCTGATACGATTACTTATAAAAAATTTGCGGCAAACCCTAACTGATCATAAATAACTAAATAACACGAACTAAGGACTAGATTTAATTAATTTTGAACTAAATTAAACTTAAAGTTAAACAATGGCAATTAACTTGCAATTAACTAGACTGAAATATAAAAAAAAAAATCAGATCGAAAAACTGTCGTCCCCGTCTCATTTTCTCTGATAGAAAAAGCATTATGTATATTATGTATCTCACACTTGCTAACAACAGACATATTTAATTATTTCGTGGTTTGTTGTTATGTCTAATACTAAATATATATTCTTTATATTACAAACCTTCCATTATAGACCAATTCACTTTAATGCTGAATAACAAGCATTAACTATACATTTTTCTGTCAAAAAAAAGTTTGCACACTGAAATGACCATTACAGTTCGGTTTTATACCAGGGGACACATGTTCAGAGTCACAAACATTGCCCTTATGAGGATCTGCTGGATTGAACCTGGGGCTCTCGGGCTAGTCGGATATTGGAGTTTTGAGCTGAAATGACGATTTACAGTTCGACTTTCGGCTTCACGTCGGCAAAATTCCAGAGTATTAACGACGGGTACACTACACCGCCTCCGTGGCCGAGGGGTTACAGTCGATGACTACTAATCCAGTTACCTCTCTGGCGTAGGTTCGATCCCTGGGAGATGCTTTGGTAGTTAAGAGCGGAGGAAGGTAGTCTAGTACTGGTGTAACTCTCCAGGAACGATGGTTAGCAAACTGCCCGCCTATATGACTGAAATACTGTTGGAAAAAGGCGTAAAATGAAACAAACAAACATTAAATGAAATTTATCGTGATTTTTAGGTAGTATAGGTAGTACAGTTATGACGGGATAAAAATAGCATTAACAAAACACTTTGTAGTATTTTATATATAACTTCATATTAATATGGTGTATTTGAAGACAAGTAATTAGATATTTTGCATTCACATTGTATATGTTAAGAGAACAATAACATTAATGATAAACTATGAACTTCATTTCTCCCCCTCTGCTTTTATCATGGCTTGGGACATGCTAGTTACTAGAACTAGGCAGCATTGGAAGAAGTGTAGTTTTATAGTTAGTCCATCACAAACACCTTGTTTCACTTCAATAAATTGGATGGTTTGAGTCCACACACAATCACTACACTTCTCCCCCATCCAGTGGCCAGATAGTTT